GATTAATGTACAGATGTGAGCACGCTGAAACCCCGATCCCATTACACAATCCCTATATTGTTGCCGGGTGTGCCACTCGTAAAGTCCATTTGGACACTTGGTTAAAGCAGAAAAATTAAGGAAAAAATGCCTGTTGTCGTCATGGAAATTTTGAAGATGAAGTTCACATTGTTGTGGTAACGATGTTGGTTACTTGACTTTTCTTTCAAGTTGTAAGTCCTGACCATTGTAATGTTGAATATTTAATACTTCACCAGGCAATAATATAGGGATTGTGTGATGGGATCAGAGTGCTCAAATCTGTTCATTAACCATGCTTCATGTATCCCATCCCTATTTTGTCTCCCTTTCTTTTTATACCATCCCCATATGCCTCTTTTTTTAAGGATTTTTAATTTACTTGTCTCCACTCATTTTTATATACAACTACGTATATCTCTGTGAATGGGGGCAAGCCCCCTAATAAAAATTAGGAAAAAATATCTGTTGTTGTCATGGAAATGACTGTTACCATTTCCATGACGATTACATGTTTCCATGACGACCGCATATTGTTTGAAAAAGCCTCAGGCAATTTTCTTTAAAACTACTTCTTCACTCCTCAAACTTGCTAACTGTAGCACGCATGGAGGTGAAACTTGGTGCGCATGTGTATTACATCGTTTCAATGAAGACCACAAGAACAACTTTTCTTTACATTACTTCTTCACTCCTCAAACTTGTTAACTGTAGGACGCATGGAGGTGAAACTCCGTGCGCATGTGTATTACAAAGAACTTTTCTTTATAATTAGTTCTTCACTCCTCAAACTTGTTAACTGTAGCACGCATGGAGGTGAAACTTAGTAACATGCATAATACATCGTTTCCATGACAACCGCAAAATAACCTCAGGCACTTTTCTTTATAATCCTTCTTCACTCCTTAAAGTCGCTAATGGTACCATGCATGGAGATGAAACTAGGTACGCATGCGTGTAACATCATTTCCATGACAACCACTTTGTTTCAACAAGCCTCAGGCAATTTTCTTAAAAATTACTTCTTAACTTTTAAAACTCGCCTAAGGTAGCACACATGGAGATGAAACTTGGTGCGCATGCGTATTGCATCATTTCCATGCCGACTACATATGTGACAGGCTCTGAGAAAACGACCCTTATGACGCAAAAACCGCAAAATACGTTTGTATGCTAGACCGAAGGTTCTATAAATGCTCTATAGTTTGCCGTTTGTTTCAGGGGCGTAGCCCGTTCCGCTGCGAAGTTATGAGCACAAGCGCAAGTGCCATTCCGCTGCATCTAACGTGAAAAATCGCGTCTGAAGGTGAACTTCCAGTGTCAAATTTCAACCTCCGTATTCTTGTTACAAGTCCGTGTTACAACATTACGCGCGTGCACGCATCCGGCCGCATTCATTATACGCCGTTAGGTAAACGTAGTAAAGGGGAATTCCCGTTTACGTGACCCCGTAAAAGGTTTGATTATTCCCGTGTTACGTTTACTTGTAATTCCGCGTTACGACGGCACGAGTAACGGTACTTGCCTGGTACCCAGCGCCATAACTACGGAACGGAACGGAGTTAGTGCGTCAAACTTGCGCAGGTTATGGACGATAGACAGAGGTATGTACTAGAATACGGGGAAAAGCGGGAATCGGTGAATTACGTAGTTCGCCGTAAAACCGCCGCTACTACAACAATACTACGTGCGTGATAAGGGTCGTTTTCTCAGAGCCTATCACATATTGTTCAACAAGCTTGAGGCACTTCTCCTCAAACTTGCGAATGGTATCACGCTTGGAGATGGAACTTGGTATGCATGCCTGTTGCATCATTTCGGCAACCTTATGTTTCCATGATGACCACATATTGTTTGAACAACATCATTGCTTTTAAACTTTGTAAAGCTAGTCTTTAATGCCCCAGAAAGAGCTGCCACATTGCTGTGGTAACAGATGTAATGACTGCATCCTTACTACTGTATCCCCGTTGTATGTATACACCTTAGGTTGTTAACCTTTTCACTTTACGTTAGCACTTAGAGCCTCTGCATCTGTACTGCAGTGAAGCTCAACCTCTCAAACCTCTCCTTTGTTGTTAAGAACGTTCGCACAATACCATATCATATCACATTAGGCTTTTGATAGCAGGAAAAAAGAAAAACTCCAGAGTTGCTATAGTTGAGTACATGACTGAGTGGAGCCATGTTAAACTTTGCATGTAAGGATGACAAAATAGGGACTGCTAGAGTTCTCTCTCTGATATTGACCTGTATGTATGTACTTGTTAATGCGTAGTATACGAGAGTAAACGCAGCTTTAACTTGTTCGGAGTACAACTGGGTGGCCATAGTCTGATGTATCGATAGCTTTGCAACTTACAGTAGCTTCTGCTTACCGTGCACGATCACTGGTAGGCTTTAAGGTTGAGCAACCAAGTAATGCGGACTGTGGCAGTGGTTGAGACGGTGTTCTATCTTTTCTGACTGCAGGATAATGTAGAGCATGGTCGTTCGCAATATGGCATTTTTGGGGCTGTCGGCGCCTTGATACTCCTACGCATCTTTGTACAAGTATAATTATAGTGCCTTCTACTTTGGTAGGTTTTAAAATTGGAAGCTGTAGTACTCAACTTACCTACTGAATACCACTCCAACAGAGAGACCACTTGTAGAACATGTAAACCTCCATCAAGGCATGCTACGTTCTATATCGGGATTGCATGGGCCAAATATCGTGTGATCCACGTACATAAAGCCTCAAATCTCAGTAGGAATCACTTGCTTGGCCATCAAATTTTTCATGTTTTGAACCATCCCTATATCCCCATAATTTTGAAGAATACATCGTTCCACTTGTAGTACTTCTTACCAACTGTTTATTTGCTAACTCTTCCCGGTGGGTGCAACAGTGTACTGATATGAGATGAGGAACAGAGTCTGTTCAAAATTGACAGCTGCACCATCAGCAGAGAATCCTGTTTGCCAATCACTGTCACAATCATCCTCTAAGGCTGACATAACAGCAGAATCTGTATAATTATGCTGCATCAGGTTTACTTAAAGGCTTAACAGGTACAAACTTTATGGTTCTCCTCCTCAACTTTATCTGTTCTACTGTCAATAGAGATGCTATTGAAGTCACTTTCCAATAGACTGAATGGACTGAGCCCTCAAACCTTCAACAATAAAGCTTACAAGAACTTTGGCTTGCATTTCATTGCTGTATGCATGAACAATGCAATGAAACTTGGTATGCATGCGTATTAATTGTTTCGATGACGAAACAATTAATACGCAACAGGGATCTTTTTTCTTTTTATTGGGGGCTGCCTTCTTTCACATAGATATGTACGTAGTGTGTTAAAAATGAGTAGAGACAAGTCAATTAAAATCCTGCGTATTTAAGAAAAAGAGGCATATAGGGATGGTTTAAAAAGATAGATGGGATACAGATTTGAACACGCTGAAACCCACAATCCCTTCACACAATCCCTATATTGTTGCCTAAGTGAAGTAATACACATTACAATAGTCAGCACTTACAGCTACACCAGTCTTGCTACTCAGTAACCAAGAGTCCAAATGGAGTTTACGATTGGCACACCAGGCAACAATATAGGGGTTGTGTGTTGGGGTCGGGAGTTACAGCCTGCTCAAATCTGTTCGTTATCCATGCTTCGTGTATTCCATCCCTATCTTGTCTCCCTTTCTGTTTATACCTATCATCCCTCTAGGCCTCCTTTTTTTAATTTGCGGGGTGTTTAAATTTTCTTGTTCTATTTTATTGTAGGCATTGCCCCTTTCACAGAGATAGACGTAGTAGTTTAATGTAAGAATGAGTGGAGACAAGTAAATACAAAATCCTGCCAATTTAAAAAGGGGGCATATAGGGAAGGTATGAAAAGAAAGGGAGACAAGATATGAATGGGATACATGAAACGTGGTTAATGAACAGATTTGAGCACGCTGACACCCCCGACCCCATCACACAGTTCCTATATTGTTGCCTAGGTGGAGTTTTAAGCATTCACCATTAGCTACTGAGTAACCAACACTGTTTTCGAGTCCAAAATGATACCAGGCAACAAAATAGGTTGTGTAATGTGGTCAGGAGTGTCGGGGTGCTCAAATCCGTTAACCAAGTTTTGTGTATCCCATCCCTTGTCTCCCATTCTTTAAATATACTAATCCATATATCCCTTTTTTAATAAAATTCACATGATTTTTAATTTACTTTTGTAAAATGGTACCCACTTTTGTGTCTACTTGACTGTAGCTCAGTGTAACAGCACTATAATCGTAGTTACATCCATACGGTAGCTGTTTTTTTTTCAAAACAGTTCATAAATCATCCATGTTCAATGAGTACACATTTTGATTGTACCTTGTCCCTAATTGATTCACTTAAGAGTTTACGTATAATATATGCACACATAGTTTTACCGAGAGAAAATTGCCTGCAATGCTCTCTTTTTGGAATTTGCATTGAAATAAGCCTTCTCCTTAGCTACTCATGTGGATTTGTTCTACAACTCCTAAGTACGTGTAAGGATGTGTTAGTTGATGCCATTGTTGTTAACCATGTGATTGATTGCCCAGCAACAATTACCGTACTTTGTGTATATGATTGATACCAACAGCGTTAGTGGTATTTATGGACATTGATATATGCGTTATCTCATGCATGTAGCACGGGTGAAAATGCCTTATAATGAGCAACGGCTTTGCTGGAAAGTATTCATCCATATAAAGTAGTGTGGTGAGCACAAGGACAAGGATCCAGTCAAGTGATGCTCTGAACACCCACTGATGCTGTGTTAGAATGAGAAAATCGAAGTGCACCTGTGTGGCATGGTCCTGTGATCAATTTTGGTCGTTTTATTTTTTAGTCCATGTTACATGAAGGGTTAGCTGCTTCCACTAGGCCTACTATTGTCTGCATTTTAGTGCAGTGTTTTCAAATTTGTGGGAGGACTTTCTTGTTTTCCCCCTCTATTTAGCCTTTTTCATGGGAAGCACGGGAGTTTCTCCGGAAACTTTTAGTTGGAAAAGAAGTGAAGTTTGTTGTGGAGCACAAGGCTACAAATCGAGAATATGGCACTATATGGGTTGCAGCTAATGGATGCAATGTGGCGGATCAGTTACTTAACGAGGGATTGGTTGAAGTCCGACAAGCTGGAGCTAGGCCAAGCGAGTAAGGAGTTACCAATGTATTATGCAGTGTGTTGCTGTGTGTATGAGAACAAATCTGTCAGCAATACAAAATACTCATAGTAGATGCATGCATTGACATTTAAGACCTTAATTTCAACGTTGAACTACGCGAAATTTTCCAGCCCATTATCGCTGGTGGAATGAAAAGCACTGAAGTGCAAACCATCGGCGCATTGTGACATGACGCACACCCGTAAGCAAACGCATGCGCCGTACCACTAATTGATGGGCTAGGTTTAGTTTTAGCTGTGACTCGTGGTCTCTTGCCAGCTCGCGCAGAGTCTGACGCGGACTAACTACACTGTAGATAGCATGCGAGAGGCGATACACACCCTGCGTTGCATCTTCTGGTGCCTCCGAGGTGCCACATGGATTGATGAGACTGTGGCCATCCCGTTCGTTGTGTATTTGCATATTGGCTTTTTCGCACTCTAGCTTTGCAACGGAGCATTTTCTGAGAAAACGGCACAAAATTTCTGACCTTCATTGGCTATTAAGTAAGTAGTATCATTTGTGAGACAAACGAACATTGGAGAAGTGAGATGTTGAGTAACAGACACACAGAAGGACAGACAGACAGACAGACCCAACTACTATACCCTCGCTGCGCATGCGCGCCGAGGGTAAATATTCAGCGTGTTCTTGGCAATATGATTAGGTAAAAACCGGGCACAAATTGAGGGTATATAAACACACTTTTTCATTTCTGTGTTATTGATACTTATGTGCGAAACGTTCCAAAATAATTGTTCATGTTTAGTTCAGCTTAAGTCGGGACGATAATGAACTTTGCTACTAAACAATGTTCAGGAAGTAAATAAAAAATTTCAATAAGCGTGGAATGTAGGGATGCCATAAAAAGCAAGGAGATTAGACAGGGATGACCTAGTGCTTGTGATTGATAAGTACAATGGGATGATGGTTATATCTTCAATCTGACATTGCTTGCTCGTGTAAATTTTCCTCTATACACAAGCCCTATATTGTTGTGAAGCATGAGTCTGCTCACTCATACAATGGCTCATTTCCTAAGCACGTAATGCACAGTTGTTGCCCTCTCTGATAGCTCCTCAATTGTTGGTTGTGACTGCATTGTGTGCAGACTTCCATGTTCGCTCAACTAACGATGAGTTTTACAATGCTGCGTTTTTGCCCCTCCATGGAATACGTTTGCCACTGTCTTCACACTCATTTTATGAGTAAAAGTTCGAAGAATTTTTTATTTGTTGTCTCCCTTCCTTTTTCTATGGCATTGGGGCATAATGCCCATGTAAAAAGTAACATTTATTTATTACCTCAGGCTCTTTGTCGTCATTCACATGTTTCTTTCACTACCAAAGTATATGAAAAGCACTAAAGTGCAAGCCCTCGGCGCACTACGCATGCACGGTATCGCTAAGTGATGGGCTGGGGCTAGGCTATACAGTTACTTGTGGTCTCCCGCTAGTAGCTCGCGGAGAGTCTGACATAGGCTAATAGATTGCATGCAGGAATCGACACACGCCCTCTGTTGTGGTGCCTTTGAGTAGGCCGATCAGTTCGAGGTAAGCCAACGCGATTATGCATATTGGCTTTTTCGCTTGTTTTCACTGCATATCTCTCGAACACAGTTCTTTCAGGAGAATCGCCTAATATTTTTTGAGTTCGCGTAGTTCTGAAGGTGTTGGTATCGCTCATTGGCCACCTCGTAGCCTGTAGTGCTAGAATAAGCGTCGACACACAGACAGACAGACAGACAGAACGACTACTGTAACCCTCGCTGCGCATGCGCACCGAGGGTTAATAAGTGCACCAAGTTTCATTGTTAGATGACCCACAATAAGCAGTTAACTACTGCACTGTTCAAGGCACTTTCTGTTTGGAAATCCCCTACTGACCTAAAGCCTTTCATGTGCTACTCTATAAGCGGCGCATAACTGCGCACAGTGTAATGTGCATTTTACGTATGCGCAATAATTGTACACGCCCACTTTTAGGATTTGCGGAGTGCCCGGTAGCTGCTGCATTTGTTGGAAGCATGGCGTTTTTGGCAATGCGAATCCAAATTTTAAAACTGAAAGTGAAACGTACAGATCTCAGATGTGTAGGCATAATGCAGAACAACCGTACTTAAGTGTTTTAATTTGTAAACGCTCCCTATATATCACTAAGTACGGTTGCTCTGCATTATATGCCTATGCATTTGAGATTTGTATGTTTCATTTTCATTTTCACTTTCAATCAGATCCAAATTAAAAAACATGCATCCAAGAAATGCCATATATTGCATAATCAGTAGGACAAACTTTGTACACATATGCAACCCATGATTAGTATAAAATGATTACAACTTTGTAAACACCACCTCATATGTATGCGCAATTTCAATTACGTTGCGCCGAGTCCCCCAGCGGTCTGCGAAGGTACTGGTAGAGGCGAGCGCATTGTCGGCGTCCTCCCCCGGCCTCTCACTCGACTTCCCAGCGAGAAAAGCAGCACTCGTTTCAGATGCACCGAATTTAAATTGCGCGCACGCGTTGCCATGGCTCTAAACAAGTTATAGACGCCTTGTCAATTGAAAGTACGCGAATTATATTGCCTTGGGGGCCTTAGTAGGGTCGTCGCTGTGCTCGAACGCTGTGCTCCGCGGCTCTCTAATGCGCGTAGTTTCCTGGACTCGGCATCTAACTTATATTTAGTAACAACAACAAGCAGCCTCAGACAATAAAATCTTGTAAATAGTGCTTGTGCTATAGGTTGCTTATTGTGGATCCTCCAACAATGACCCTTGGTACACTGATGTACCATGATAAGAGTTCATTGGAACACATATTACAAGTTTGTAAACAACAACAAACAACCTTAGGCAATAAAAACTTTTTAAATGGTAATAAATTACTTGTGGTTTTTCTTCTAACAATGAAACTTGGTTCGTTCATCGAAACAGAAATTACCGGTTTAAAACAAAAACAAATAGCCTCAAGGAATAAAAACTTGTAAGTGGTGTTTGTGCCTCTAATTTGCTTATGGTTGATCCTCGAACAATGAAACTTTGTACACTAACGTACCATGATAAGAGTTCATTGGAGCATAAATTACAAGTTTCTGAATAGCAACAAACAGCCGCAGGCAATAAGAACACGTAAACTGTGTTTTTGCCTAATAAATTACTTGTGGTTGATCCTCTAATAGTTAAACTCGGTACACTGATTGACCGTTATAAGAGTTCACCAAAACAGAAGTTACAAGGTTGTGAACAAGAACAAACAGCCTCAGGCAAAAAGACTTCTAAATGGTGTGAGTGCATTTAACTAGCTTATGGTGTGTCCTCTCGCAATTAAACCTTGGTGCACTGATGGTAATGTGAATGACGACAAAACGTCTGAGGCGATAGCTTAAGGCCTCTAATTTTTACTTTTTTTAATTGGCTTATGCCCCAAGATATCCCCTTTTTATTGCACACCATGCATGTGATGTAGTAAAAAAGGAAAGGAGACAATAAAATATTCTTCGAATTAAAATGTGTGGAATATAAGGATGGCATGAAAAGCAGCTCCCCCCCCTCCCCCCCGTGCACATCAGAGAAGCAACCACTTTGTCCCGCTCGAATGCGAACGCTGAGTGGCAGTGCGCACAAAGCCGCACCTGCTTCAGATGCACACTCCACTCTTTCAACCAAAACAAATCTGTAGAATCTGTTCCTAGGACTCTTTGTGACGAGCTAGACTAGAATGCCAGTTGCTGCTGGTGCAATGGTAGTGGACGCTGTATGTCCTGCCGGTGTGTGAAGGCAGGACAGCGCACCAACGGTCTGTCGTCTTGTGTAACACTGCTCCCTGCCCGGCACCCGCTAATATGTCTTCTATGCCCACAGCGGAAACGTACACGGTCTGTCGCTGGCACTAACTGGTGATACACCTTGGTCTGTGGGCAATGATGTCCTTTACTCACAAGACACTCTATGCTCGACTAGCCCAGGTAGAGGTGCGAACACCAGCGCCATGTTTGGTAACGTCAACACGGACACCCTCGTGGAGACAAGAACTCTTCCACTGTTCAAGCCAGTACCAAGTATAACTTTGTCCTGGGGGAACATATCAGGAGAGGAATTTCTCTAAAGCGATTGATGATGTGTAGGCTCAGGTGGATCACTTGGAAGCCTAATCTCTTTTAAGGTACCATTTTGAGCATGGGGCAAGCAATTTGTAACCGAACTTACTTGGCTCTCTAACAGCTTTGTTGCGGAATCTGACCTTGAAGCCATTGCATTGAAGGCCACTATGACCTTCACTGATGCTACAAAAACCACACGCTAAATCCAAAGCACATGACCACATTTCCTGTCTGCAGCGCAGAGCCTGTGGGAAGAAGGAGATATCTTGAACCTCATTAAGGAAGAAAGAACTCCCAGAAGCCACTTGCACACTCTCCACAAGAGATACAGCAGACCACACTTCAAAAGCCCACAGGTTCTCCAAGATGATGATGGATGGGAGGGTGGGAGGTGCTTTGAAGCTTGTTTCTGATGACTCAGACACAGGCCTTATAAGCCTCAATCAAGTTGTTGACGAGTATCCGGAAAAAACTATCTAAGAGGTTCTCGAAGACAAACACCCAGATCCAAACCCAGTACACCCAGATGTTCTCTTAGGAGATACAGATGACAGTAGCTTCAATCCAACTATTTTTGTCTCACGCTGCTGTATTTCATACCCAAGGTGGTGCTGGACCGCCAGGACTGGATGCCCTCCGCTGGAGACGACTATTGGGGCAAAAGTCCAACGGCCTCTGCGCAACCCTAGCAAGAGTTTGCTGGAAGAATTTCCGACCACATTCATCTACCATTTCATTGCGGGGGGGGGACGGAGTTAAGCGCTACAGGGGGTGGGGGGGAGGCCCGAGTGCGTAGCGGCTGGCGG